GCCGTCATTATATGATTAAAAGTTTTGACATTTTACAAGGGTTTTTTCAAACATCTTCGCAAGTTCCTTAAGACACAAGGCTCTGAAAGTGTTAAACGCTCTCGATTAATTACGAACATATTTATTTTACATGATTTATGAGACCAGCAGAAGAGAATCTCTCTCCTTCCCTCTCTCACTCTCTCGCTCTTTCTCTTTCTTTCCTTCTTTCTTTTTTTTCTTCTTTCTTTCTCTCTCTCTCTCTCTCTCTCCCTCTCCCACTCCCTTCCCCTCTCCCTGTCCCTCAATCACTCGCGCGCTCTATAAGATACATCTACTTCTCTCTCTCCCTACTCTTCCTTCCGAACCTCGTCAATAACATGGATGACAGTTGGAAAACGAAATTTTTTTCCCTACAGTTCCTTCGATATTAATGCCTTAAGCATTTTAGCCTTCCTAAGCTATCGGAAAGTCTTCGAATATCGCCAAAAATTTAGCGACATATAAGTAAGATCCTACGTCTGCAATTGTCATATGTCGAATATGGACATTTGTAGTTCGAATTTGAACGGCATTAGATGCCATCGGTTTTTTGTTTGTGGTGCGACCAACAACTAAGGGAATACGCCCTATTCGCATAACATGGTGACGGTCAGAGAGAAGTGGCCAACGCCAGATGGTAAGATCAGCCCGTCCAGCCCGTTTCGTCTCTCCATTTGTCGTTATAGGGGCTATAGCACGTGCATTTCTTTGGTCTAAACGTCTGCGGAATGTCTGTGGGATAAAATTTGAAAAATCGACCATTTCTCCCGAACTAATTAGCTTATCCATGAGACTTGCGTCCATTCGTTTACAGCCTCCGATACCTTTACAACTTTTTCAACTATGTCGGTCGTTCTTTTTTTTCACGTACATGATTTAATATTGCTTATTACCCAACACGAAAGGCAAAGAAGATTCAGATAAGGAGACAACGTTTCTTGTATGGCGCCCAACATAGGGCCCGAAAGACTAAAAAAGTTAAAGGTTCAAATGATCGACAGCCATAATTTGTGTTATATAAAAGCTGCGATTATAGCAAGAAAATCCCCGGTAATCGAAAGCTTGAGAAATATTTTCGGCACACATATTCTCTTCTTAAAATTGTCTTCTTGTAGAGCACGTCTTACTTCTCCTTTACAGTTCACAAATTTCATTAAATCTCGTACCCAGGCTCTCTACGACATTGGGTATTGATCTCAATGACATGAACGATGTGTTCTTCTTTATATATTATCCAGGGAATAACTTGTAACGCGATCAAGGCCAGAAAAAAGTGAGGAAAGCGAACAAGATTAGGAAGGGGTGGCGGCAGCGGAGTGGATTTGTGCCTCTTGGATAACTGTTATGCCATTGACGACTCAGTGTTCACTACAGCTAAGATTTGAACCCGTAAACATTGAGTTGGTACTCGTGATTGTCACCCACTCTTCTACCCATCCGGACAAAATAATATTTTTCTAGGTAAGCAAACTGATAAAAAAAAAAAAGATTATAAAATGACGATGAAGTTATACATAAACTGCAGAATGCTGGACTGATATATAAGCGAGCATATCATGAAGAGCCAACTTAAGCAATCTATAGAATGATCAAATCACACTTAATAAGCGAACAACTCGAATGCCAAACTGTGTTTCGTGACCTTATCCTGTAATGTACGAACTTTATTAAAGCAAACCCTTGTAATAGGAAAACCACGCTGTATATGAGATAACGTTGTATGTATATTGCTATGTGTATGTGAAGATAAACAAAATTTGACCTGTTATTCACATATAACATATGTGTATACAAACAGATATATATATATGAAAGCGAGTAAATACATCTGCTTTTAATTTTAATGTTCACATGCAGTGCAGTGGCTGTGGTCAAATCAATTGAAAAAACTAAATATTTATAGCGACGTTTTCTTTTCTTTTCCTTTGTTTTTTTTTCTTCTTCTTCTTCTTCTTTTAGTTTTTGTGTGAAAATGTACCAAAAAAGGTCTTTTTAGCTTTCGCTTCCTTTTTCGAATTGAATGCGCACGAAATATCTCATGATTTGTACACGGAGTTACATATATAAATATATTTCTTATTGCTTTTATGTTATGTTTATGTTTTTCCCTCATGTTCGTTTGCACTCAAGTGCAAGTAAATTTTCCGAATGTAAATAAATTTTGTATAATGTTTAAGAGTATGTTGATGCTGCATCAAGAGAGTACATCGTTTGCACAAAGATGCAAAAGCACACTCTATTAACGCTTAGTAAGGACGATTTCACATAAACTCAAACACTTGATGCAGTTAAATGAGTTGCAGCGAGCAAGTTAACACACAAACATCTAAACATTCTATATATTTGTGGAGCAAGAATACATCTTTTCTTTAACGACACATACATACACCAAGCGAGTCGGTGTTTTGTTTTTTTTGTTTTTTTTTTTTTTTTCATTTTTATCCGGTACCAATACATACAAATAAGTATTCACGTATAAAAACGCAATTATTTTTGAAAATCATGTTTCACACATTATTTATGATCATAAAAGTGAACTTTTCAGTTAGTTGCATTTTGAAATCAACGCTTTTCCTTTTGGCGTTTAACAAGGACACCAGTAAAGACAACAATTTTTATGTACGAAATATATACGAAAGTAGTTTCTCTTTACACATATTTACTGATGAAATAAATCAATTTCCTCTAAGGAAAGAAAAAAAAAATGCTTTTTTCCGCTTTATTTAAAAGGATAAGTGCTTTGCGTGCACAAGTATGTGCGACTAGCTATGAAATAACATCTGCATGCATATAAAGAGATATACATTTATGTATGTAAATCTACGCAGACACACACACACACACACACGCATAGTATACGTAAATATTTGGCTGCTTTTCAAAACGAATACACTTGCGTAATTGACTTTCTGAGTTGTTTGTCTGATTTCGTGTTCGCCTTCCTCCAGAAATCAACAATAATTACTATTTGTTTTATCTTATATCAATCGATAAAAGGTACAAGACTTCAATTTATTCATTTTTTTTTTTCTTCTTCTTCTTCTTCTTAATGAACAGAACAAGGCGCAGTGATCAGAGTTCAGGGCTTGGTTTGAATAACCATTGGCACTCGGTTGTTGTTGATACCCCTATAAGAAGCATAGTCCCAAACACATAACCTACAAATCTGAACATGTATAATGGCATAATGATCATTGGCTGTAAAAATGAATGAATGAAATTATGAGAAAATTAAATTTCCATGACCAGCTTAAAGAAATTCTAATATTGTTACAGAAAAGAAGGAAAACGAAGGAAAATAACTGCGAGATCTTTATGAGAGAGAATGCTGTATTTATTGAACACTGGATACGGATGAAAGTTGAATAAACCACTGTTTCGACCAGAGATGCTCAGCTCCTCTAAGGACGACATTTATTCGATACATTTTTTGAGTTATCAATCCCTTTCCATATATAACATTCTTTTCTGTATCTTATTAACAAATCATGCATCTACTTGAGATTCTTCAATTGCCTGCAGAAACCTCAAAAGAAACCAATACTACAATATATCGTTGAAACATTCAGCGTAGAGCTTCCAAGTGTTTAAGTGGTTGTTGTTGACTAGTAAATAGAATAATGGGATACGCTGCCCTAAAAATATTAAAGAACACTCTTTGTGTATAGTATATTTTAAACGAAAGCGAAAACTGCATCCATGACAATAATTCTAACCTCAGAAAGAGTACACATATTCTTACAACTTTTGCTAGTAACGTCAACTTCAAAATTACTAGAAAAACTAAAGATTTGTATCATCGTTCTACCGATTGAATATAGTCCACTAAGAATTTCTAAACGCCTACGATATGAAAAATAATGATCGACATTAATAGCAGTTATTGACATTGCACTGGGTATCAGGCGGACCCCGAAGCCATCCCCTGCTTCGACTTGACGGCGGGAACAGCTCTTATAGGAGTGATGTCATGTCTGTGGTTGACTCAGATCCCGCCAAGATTGCTCACTTGATTTTGTAGACGGGTACTTGACCCATAGAATCAAGACAGAGAGTTTAGTTGCAAAGCGGAAAATTTTTTGATTAAGAATCTCCGTCTTCATCATCTGCCTTTTCTTTATTAAGTATCTAGCAACGAGCGATGAAAAGGCAAAATCTTATACAAAAATGTACGGAAGACCTTTCTCTCTACGAATGTGTTTGCGTATATTCTGGTCTAGGTTTGTAAGCCCGCATCCATATTATCTTATCTTTAACTTGTTGAAATTCGTAATCCTTTCGATTCCACCTGTAGGTAACGAATAACGAAAGACGAAATGACAACAACAGAAAGTACACATGACACCGTAGCGGATAAAGATTCGGTTCCGTACTTCTATGTGTTTAAAAGTAGTATAGTTGGTTGTAAAAGGGAAAGCGTTTGCGCATTTTAATGAAAACATTTCAATTCATCACTAATTTTGTTGATCATATTATTCATATATATTCGATCGTACTTTTATAAAGTGTAAGAAGAGAAAAGATTCTTCTCAGATCCTTCTCATTCGTAGTTAGAGGAAATTATAATATGTAGAGTTTTTCAAAAAAAAAAAAAAAAAAAAAACATTCATACTTTCCCTCCTTATACTCCTTGTTCTCATGGAATGGATTCTGAATTGATGTCGAAAAATGTAACTTAACGTATGCCCGTCCTTTGATTCATCGGTTTGAACGGTGAATAACGATCGAATGCTGACAACCTCTTAATTATCGATATTTAACGTTGTTGTTGTTGTTACTTTTATTTCACTTAGAATTGATGCAAATATTTTTGTTTACATATCTTTTCGTTGCAATGAAAAAGTGAAGGGAAAACTTTTCTTACTTTTTCACCCAAGGGCTGAGGAAGATAAAAATATATTTTTGGTTTTTTTCCTAGACAAGGGCTTTACATTTTCTTCTTATATTCTTTATAAAAAAAAATTTTTTCTTTTTTTTTTTTTTTTTTTTTTGCGTAAACTAACTAAAGTATTGCAAAACAATAAACGTTTCATTTAAAAGGAATAAGAAAGAAATCTTTTTAAAACGTTTTATCCTTTCCTCGTTATAAGGAATTTTTATTACATTTATACATGTACACATCCATCACAAGTATAGGTATTCTTGGAAAGTAAGAGCAAGAATACAGAAGATGATGCAACAAGGGTCGGATTTAGTGTTTTTTACGCTTTCAATGAAAACATAATAGTGAGAAAGATAATACCCTGCCATTATGTATGTGCGTATCTTTATAAAATGTACAAGTTTATACAAGTTTTCATAAAAATCATTCATCACTACTAAATGTATATATGTTTCCATAGAAATGGTTTGTCATCATATGAGGTGTGTGACGTGTAATCGACATATTGGAAACTGATAAAAGAATTGTTTAAAATTCACCCTTTAGTTCAAACGATATGAAGCTTTCCTTCCATTAGAAAAGTAGTCGCTGATACTAATTTAAAATTTACAAAATTTTTTTCTAAACTAAAAAATTATTCAATCTTTTCGTGTCAGATTTATGTGAAGCAATTGAGGTTCCTCAACATACAAACATGCTTCGAATTGCGATATTACGGGGAGGAGTTGCGAAAAAGTTGACAATCAAAAACCCATTATTTAACGGCGTGATGAATAATAGAGTTTGTTCGGCCAGACATTACAATTCAAAAAACACTACGCGTGTGGATTTGGCCGATATAAGGAAAAATTATGTGATCGTTGAGCACAGCTTTGATGCGATTGTCGTTGGTGCTGGCGGTGCGGGATTACGAGCTGCTATTGGTTTGGCGGCGAAAGGTTTTAAAACTGCTATAATTTGCAAACAATATCCAACGCGGGCTCACACTGTCGCTGCCCAGGGAGGTATAAACGCGGCCCTAGGCAATATGGAGGAAGACCATTGGGAATGGCATTTTTATGACACGGTTAAAGGATCTGATTGGCTAGGCGATCAAGATGCTATTCATTTTATGTGCCGTGAGGCGCCTAAGGCGGTTTATGAGCTTGAGAATTTCGGATTGCCTTTCTCTCGTACGCCTGAGGGTACAATTTATCAACGTGCCTTCGGTGGGGCAACTCTTAATTGCGGCAAAGGCGGACCGGCCCACAGATGTTGTTCCGCAAAAGATGCAACCGGTCATGCAATGCTTCACTGCCTTTATGGTCAGTCTCTTGCCTATAAAAATTTGCAATTTTTCAGCGAACATTTTGCGTTTGAACTGCTGTTCCAAGATTGTAAATGTGTTGGTGTTTTGGCCTGGAATCTCGAAAGTGGGAATTTGTGTCGATTTCGGGCCGCTAATACCGTTATAGCCACAGGCGGGTGTGGTCGCATGTACTTTTCAACTACGGACGGTCACTGCTGTACCGGCGATGGTACTGCAATGGTAGCCCGTAAGGGATTACCTTTGCAAGATATGGAATTTGTGCAGTTTCATCCAACGGGAATGTACGGAACTGGTTGTTTGATCACAGAGGGTGTACGCGCTGAAGGTGGTTTCTTCACTAATGCTAAGGGTGAACGGTTTATGGAGCGTTATGCCCCGAAATTAAAGGATCTAGCTACGAGGGATGTTGTCGCTCGCGCCATGTCCATGGAAGTCATTACAGGAAATGGTTGCGGACCCAAAAAGGATCACATACACTTACACTTGCATCACTTGCCGAAAGAGATTATCAAGGCACGTTTGCCAGGAATTCAAAACACAGCTCTTATATTTGCAAATATTGACGTTACCAAGGAACCTATACCTGTACTGCCTACTGTCCATTACAATATGGGTGGTATACCGACAAACTACAAAGGTCAAGTCTTAACAATGATCGATGAAGGAAAAGATAAAATTGTACCCGGTTTATATGCTTGCGGCGAATGTGCATGCGCTTCAGTACATGGAGCAAATCGCTTAGGTGCTAATTCATTGCTCGACATAATCGTATTTGGCAAAGCTTGTGCAGAATGCATAGCTAGCTGCAATACACCAGGTAGACCGATACCACCGTTAGATGAAAACACTGGTATGCGCGGTCTTGTCTATTTGCATAATCTGCGCAACTCTGCTGGTAAAACGAATCCGGCTGAACTGCGCTTGAAACTGCAGAGCACAATGACAAAGCATGCCGCCGTCTTGCGCGATGGTAAACTTCTAAAGGAGGGCATCGAACTTGTAAAGGGAATCTTGCAAGAATTTAATAACGTCAAAGTTACCGACAAAAGCATGGTTTGGAATTCAGATCTGATGGAAATCATTGAGCTACACAATCTAATAATTAACGCTTTGCTTACTGTCAGTTCGATGGAACATCGCAAGGAATCGCGAGGTGCTCATGCGCGTGAAGATTTCAAAACTCGTATCGATGAATACGATTACTCCAAAGATATTAAGGAACAAACAAAGAAACCCTTAGATGAACACTGGCGTAAACATATTCTCATCTGGGGTGAAATGGATGGTAAAACGTCCTTCAAATACAGACCTATTATCGATCACGTCTTAGACAATTCAACTAATTCAATACCGCCTTCACCGAGAACTTATTAATTAATATTGCATAATTTTAGAGTTATGTTACAGTTGTTGCTGTTAATAATATTAATATTAAATAAATTGTAGTTGTCGTCTTAACGACAATACGATTACGTTGCATACTTCGTATAATAGCATAAAATAGCATATGGGAAGATTCTTACAGGTTGGCGAGGCGCTTGTATACTAGCAGCTCTCCATACATTTGTAGAGAACGATGACTTTACGGCATTTGTCAATTGAAGACTTTTCCTTAAGAACACATTCATCGTGCGGCGTTACTCTTTCTATTTACAACTTGCAGCAAAAAACACAAATGAATTTCCTTCGCTTGATAAAATTTTATTAATTGTATTACAAAAAAAAAAAAAAGATAGAAAACGCGTTTTGTTATGCGACCTTTAATTATATTCTGTACTTTTTATTCTTTTTTTATTTTTTTCGTTTGTTCTTTTTTTTTTTTTTTTTTGTTTTCTTTACGTTTTACAACACTTTCTTTTATAAACTGTACGGTTTAAGAAATCGCCACCGACTGAGACCGCTTCTTCAATCTTACTGAGTAAACTCTATAATATTTTAATTTTTAGCATTTTCTGATAACACTTTAGTTCGTATACGGGAACAAGCGTTTACATATATATAAAAGAACACTTACGTGTATATAGTATAAATATATTTTATTAAAGTATATCGCGTTTAGCATACATGTGAAATGCAAGTGATTATAACTCAAGTGGGCTCTCTGTGTATTCAGTTATTATTATTATTATTATTGGTCTTAGCTTTAGTTTTTATTATTATTATTATTTTTTTTTTTTTATTTTCTTGTTATTTTTGTTATTGTTATTTATTGAATTAAACACAAAACTATTATCAGAGTTACATACAAATATCTCTCTAATCGTGTTTAGTAACGAAAGCACACAAACACTGCCACATCTCTTATAGGAAACGATGTAATTTTTCATATCTCTAAATGCCTGTATATATATATATATATATATATATATATATATATGTGTGTGTGTGTGTGTGTGTGTTTATTAACAATATTATACAGAAAATATATATGCTCTTGAGCGAAACGTATAGAGCTAATTTTACAAGCGGACTCTCGAAAAAGTACAAAAATTGATTGTAAAATACCGAAAGCCTCATTCAATTTTTGCTTACCTTCGTCGTGATCGAATTCTCCCGTTATCAATCAAGGCAATCGAACTTTGGCCTACACATGCTACATACACTGCAGGAAAAATGCAACCGCCACTCCAATTACAAACTTAACTAAGCTAAATTGAGCACAAAAAAATCAAGTTCCGCTTAAATCTCTTAAAAATTTAAATGATCAAATATCTTATACACACAAACACCTTGCAATTTTTAAAACTATTTATCTATATATATATTGTAATTTAAAGAAATGAAAAAGTTTTGCTCAGTTCGGCCGTGCGATTCTAAATCCCACCCACAAAAACACTTACCGCAGATCACCTGTACTATATAGGGAGTCTTTCGATAAGAAATGTTTGTCGAAACTTCGCGTCATTTTTGAATTGGCAACATACGACGGTCATTGCATTGATGCATTCACTGATCATCGAGGGAATGGACGCTGAGAGCACATGAACAAAATCATGATTCTGAAGTTCATAGTGAACTTTCATTTGAATGAGTACTTAACCAATCAAAACTGTCTCCAAAATACGAGAGAATCATCTAGCTCTTCTAACCACATCGATAGGTAGGTTGGTACGCTTTTTCACTCGGTTATGTTATTCGTCCAAATTTCTGCAAATGCTGCTAATGAAGGCGTTACGTTATCGAACAAAGTCGACTGATCTTTGTGGTGCAAATCGTATTAAGTTAAGTTTGTGCCTATGAGGCTCCGAAGTACTTAATGAAAAGGCAAAATTTATCGGCCGATTCAGAGTAATTTTTTGAATCAATTTAAGCTTGTCTGTTCATCTGATGTGTGTACACTTATAGTATAGAATGTGTTTAATCTACAGGTCGCAATTTTTAGAATATTTTGAGTCAAGAATGAATCCTTCTCGCAATGGATTAAATCGGACCATTTTTCCGGTCATTCTCCATATAACGCTTTATTCTGAAAATCTCATTGAGTAGCAATCTTTCGACCTTATTAATTAGATGTGACAAATTTGAATCCGATTAACCAATTTTTAAAACCAATTTTTCCCCATATAACCCATCTAACCATTACTATAACAAATAGGCCGTGATCTAGCGGAGAACTTTTTTCGCGGCAAAAATTATTCCATTCTAGTAAATTAACTGGGAACAAAAAATTCATATAAGTCTATTTGTGAGACGCCAACCATAAAAAGCACGCCGTTACGTGACAGGAAAGGTAAAGTTTTACTACTTTATGAAGAAAATAGAAAATTAAATTTTGCAGAATTTGGATCTCGAAATTCGCATTGCAATGAAAAGAATTACTTCAGAAGAAAACAACGCATAATTTGTGATCTTTGGGCGGCTTTATCATGTAAGCGGAGCAATGTAGCTTATTTAATAGTCGACTTTACACGAGTATAAATCTTCTAGTTGCTGGTTTTTTTTCAACAGGACAGCGCCATCGGACCTTGCTTGTGAAACAGTGACCCTATTGCGTGGACGTTTCAAAATATCGCCCATCCCAATTGAAGACTCGCTCTATTGCTTATCGACTTAAGGTTCTAAGTTTATTTAATCGTTTCAATTTGCCATAATTTGTCAATTGAAATGGAGATGTGAAACTTGGGATATATACTCGTAGTTAATGGCCATAGATTGAATTATGCCCGTGATTCGCCCACAATCAGTATTGCATTGTCATTTGTAATCCTTAGCAAATATATGCCAACGTCATGTACAATACCGAGACTCGAATAACTTTCCAAACGACACGTATGCAATTAATATAACAATATACGTTGCGCTTGTTGCAATCTATATACATGCACTACTAAGTTATACTACGTTTTTTTGCTGGCTCGAGCGTTTAGAAACGGTTCTTCTCGACTTTCGTTATATAACGGATTAAAAGTTCCCTGGAACCCGGCCAAACTGTGAATAGCGAAAATAATTGAAGCAGATTGCGTGAAGCTATTCACCAGCATTTGGGAGAGACATCTCATAGCTTTTATATCGTAATAACGCGTCTTTCGAAAGACTTACTCGATATGACCTCTCTCTCTCTTGCAATTCTCGAAATTATCATGGATTTGCAAAGAGGAAAGTAGAGCAGCCTGCTCACGTAACCAGTATCGTAAACTATTTTAAATCAAACTACAATAACGTGAGTAAAAATGTTTTGAAAAGAAAATGATATATATGCTGCTTTTCTTTCTCTATTCATATATATAACATTTACTGCCAAATAACATTGTGCGATATTGTGCAACATGTGTACCTTTTGTATCTGTAATCTACTACTAATGTATTTCACTACTAAATGTGCGCACACATATGTATATACAGAACTTATTACAGGAATCAGGAATCAAGAAATTTAAACATGAGAAACTTTTATAGAACATAAACTACATCTATAACCATCTCGTTAATCTATACAGATGTTATTTTATATATATATATATATATATATATATATATATATATGCAGTTTTAGTGAAAAGACTCATACTTACGGTTACATGCATGCCTTTTTTAAAGTTTGGAAGCTTGCAAATAAAGTAGTACAAGCAACTGTTATTCATGTAATCTGTACATTGTACATGTGTACATGTGTACATATGCCACAGTACTACGGATAATTATATAATTCAATGCGGAACAGAGAGGTGTACGTGCGTATACGTGTTGTATGGGATTATTAGGTGTAATTGATAGAGTATTGGTAAAGCAATTGAACGCTTAAACGCGCTTACAATATTTCTATTTCATCGAAACGCATACACATACAATAATCATTTGAATGCAACTATATTTTGAATCATTTGAATGCAACTATATTTTATTATTTTATGTTTCCGTTTGGCTTGTAAAGAATTAAAATGCGTATCTATTACGAGAGTTATTCGCATAGTCGCCCATCCCAATGTGAAACCAATGCTCTTTTCGCCAAATTCACAAATAGTTTTCAGAATAGTGATCAGAGTCAGTCTAACGGTTCTCGGTTTCCATAATGACGTCGTCATTTGATTTACATTTTTTGCCAAACTCGAAGCATATGCTTTCGAGATTTATCAAATGCTAATCGTCGCTCAGTGTCACTTAGTTTGGGGAATGCGGTGAGTGGGGCAGTAATGTGAACTTCCTCTTATGCACATTTGTCATTATAGCCACCGACTTAAACGGTGAGGCTTCCTGTTCAACTATAAGCGAACTTGGCAACCTACATTCGATCTCCTTTCTCTAATTTATCATATATGTCCGCTTTAAATTCGATGATCGTTCAGCAACGCTTGACAAGCTTGAACAATATTTTCATCACTGGTTAAAGTTTTTAGGCATCTCGAAAGCTCAGCATTACCCAAGCAGCTATGGCCAGCCTTTAATTCAGCTACCTAACCGTGGCAGTGTACCCGCACAGCGTTCGAGTCGTCTTAAATTCTTGTACCTATCAAAAACAATTACTTAACGACGCCCTGATATTTAAATTTGATCGATTATCTTCTTTTCATGCTAAAAATACGAATAGCGTCTATTTTCAGCGTTATATGCCACACTCCTTATGAAACAATGTCTGTATTATCCCATCCTTATGGTCGGTGTTCTTTTTTTTTCGCAGTAGAAGTAGAAGTCTGCCGCGAAGCATTTTCTCCTTAAAAAATTATGACATGGTTTTCAGAGGCCTTGAATAAAATTTTCTCTCATGCCGTTCCATAAATGCTGCGCAAATCGATCCAAATCATTGTCGTTCAGTGCCAGCTTTGAACTGTAAAAGGGCTGCATTGATGCCTCCTAGCCAAGCTTCCGCAATTCTTAGTTATCTATCTTAAAGTTAAATATTAGGGTGTTCGGAAAGTCATTTCGTTTTTTTTTAACAAATACAGCATTTTATTTATTATTTTTTCGCAGGCAAATTCACACTTAAGCCGCATTATCGTTAATATATATATAGTTTGGTAGCTGATGTAGCAAAGCTTGCTTGCGATGGCGTGTTGGACTACGCCCAGCCATTCCGCAAAACTTACGCATTCTGCCTAAACTTTGCTCGTCTTTCGACGACTTTATAACGGCTATATGCCTTCGATAATGTTTTTCCCTTTCAAATCTCTTTAATTCGAATTCTTCCGAGCAAAGGGAAAATTTAAACACCACAAATCGCGTAATTATTTATATGATCGCTGGAATAACGTAACGTAACCGCTTACCTGTTTTCTATGACACAAACTTTTTAAATGCAAGCAATTGTGCTTTCATTAAACGCTTGCTGAAAAATATCTATGTACATATATAGCAAAAAGCAATTAAAAGTTGTAAAAAAAACACACCTTCTATGTACGATTTACATGTAGATTTCAA